TGCATGGTAAGTAGGATAGCGGACTCATAAAGGAAGAGGGGGGGGGGGGTTGAGCTAATGACGAAGGTGATCGGTACATGGATCTGAGCAACGATCCGCTCACTTACAGTGCTCCCACAGTTACATATCCAAGGAACCCTTATTCGAATAGAAGCCATTCTTTGAAACTTGCGAGATATAGGACTGAGGTTTTAGAATTTGAGAGGAATTCTCAACTAAAGGGATAATAAGCCCAATACTCTACAAAATAGAGAAGCGTGGGTAAAGTATTGGACACACAATTTTCTTCCATGGCGCAGCGTAAAGAAAGGCACTCGTGGAGGACAAGAACAGCTCATTCCACCACACAAACATTTTTCGCCAGAAAAAAAAGTGGCAAAGGACTTCACTGTTTTTTAAAAATAAGTTAGATGGCTTATGCACCGTCCGGTCATCAAGGCGTTATCCAAAGATTTTTTTGAACTAAATTTTGTAGGATGCAGATAGCTAATGTTTTCTATGTAGGAAGCTTTTGTTGAATTCATAAGCTGTAAAGCGATCTATGCATACTTGTAGTACGAAGCGCAATCCTTTTCGTCGCATTCCATACGCGTACTTCCTGATGGCCATTTAGCCGCCGAATATGTAGTAGTATACACATCCTGTTGGCAAGCATGAGTACATCTGCAGGACTTTCGCTTAACCATCCGAATACTCTCCGCCGACAAACATTCTCCTAAAATACTCTGATTCCAGAAGCTGACACTGAGAACGGAAATATAATTTGGACCGTTATTAAAATAACTTTCTATCAAAATAATGATCGCAGCATCCTATTTATTCATAAATTACAGTAGCACTTGGACATCCAAAGCAAAGAACCTGAAAAGGGTGTTACGGCCGTGTGACCATGGTCGACCGTCCGTTGTTCATTCCAGACCTGGACCCCCTCTCCCCACCCCGCCCACCACCTTCACCATCACTACGTATCTATCATTTTTGGTTCTGGGACGCGTCGACATGTTCCAACTCCGCACACACTATCTACCAAATCAACCGGTATTTGAGGGGGGTCGTATTTCGCGAGGTAGCGTCAATGTTACAGTACGGGAGGGGATGGTTTTTTATGGAATCGGAGAGCGTATTAGGGTTGTTGGCTAAGATTTTGAGTGCGAAAATCCAGCAGGGGAGTGGGCGTGAGGACTTAAATCACGGGGGGTGAGAGTGAGGGATTAGATATTCCGAAGCGGCAAATGGTGGCTGGTTTTGAGTACACAATTTATAGTAATGTTTTACGACTCGACGGTTCCGTTGAAAGTGTGGCCCTTCCAGGAATCAAACCGAACCCTCGTTCGAATTCAGTCGTTTCCATTTTACTTTGTTAGTTCCATTACACGCTCCTGTATAGTGGGTTTCATGTTAAGAAGATGAAAGACTGTGCATTTTGTATGTCGCTATGGGCAATTGCGTTGACAAAGTGCCCAAATCCGCGAGTGGGAGTGGCGTCCTGGATCCGTCTAGGTGCGCGATTCCTACTCGCGACCACTTGCTCGATGCCAGATCGCGCCGGTACCCGGCGGAATTACCGGTTGCCTTTTGCTATGCCTTTAGTTGTCAGCAAACGCAGTGTCCGACATCTACCTCAGTAGACACGCAAGTGGGGAGTGGTCCGCGCAATGTTTAGTGTCTTTGACTCAATTGCTTTTCCCATATAAAAGATATTATTGTCTTCACGGGAACCTCGGCCTGGTATGGAGAAATGTGAACTAGAAACTTACTTATGATATCATTTCGAATATCGCAATAGGTCACTCGATCCGATGGCTTTGGAAACCGTGGATCGGCGCATCTGCACTGATTGATTATTCGCTTTTGATAACAATTACGGTAACATCCCTAAAGCAGCCATCAATATTTTCCAAGAATAGCCGTCATGGCAATCACACTTACTTCAGGCTCATAACTGTAGTCTTTATAAATATAACCCAGTGGCAGCGGGCTGTCAGGATTGAAGCAGCCACCGCTTGGCAAACGGGTTACTTTTCTCTGTAAATGCAATCATCACAAGGGGATCAATTTAAAAGATCCATCGATTCCCTTACAAGTGAAATACCGAAAGACGATATGGCTCCGGTAGGAGCCGAGTACCCGAACGTGTCTGGAAAAGGGCACTGTCGCTGGCTGTGAATAGTGATACGAACTCCGGTAGCTTCAGTTGTAGGCAGATAGTCCGACGAGTTCACGAAGACCATCAGACGTAATCCTGCAGAAGAAGTGGTTCAGTGATTTTCCCAAGCATCGCCACCAGTCAAAATAGAGCAACGGTCAGGGTGTAGCATTGCACTTCCTAACTCTAGGATCGGGCTTCGTACAGGATAAGCAGATTTTAATTAATGAAGGGCAGTTATGAAGCTGAAGGATTACTAGTATCCATCCCATCATGAAGACATGGCAGATACGGTAGCCGCCAAACTTCAGAAACTTTCAAACTTTCAATCTCGCGAGGCCAATCAACAACGGAAATCGTTTAGGGTAAGATTCTATATAAAAAATTAAGCAATGAATACGGTGGTAACGCAAGTCCTCAGAATCGATAACCATGACTAGAACACAGGATTTTTACCGAAAAAAAATGGCGCCTCAAAAGTCTCAACAATAACAAAACTAATGCACAACACTCCTGAATACACAAAAGAATCACTACGCTGGTGGGCAGTGGCATAGTTAGAGTAGTCATAGACATCGTTTTTAGT